CCTAGGGAGGTTGTGGAATCTCCAGCTCTGGAGATATTTAAGAGTAGGTTAGATAAATGTCTATCAGGGATGGTCTAGACAGTATTTGGTCCTGCCATGAGGAGCAGGGGACTGGACTCGATGACCTCTCGAGGTCCCTTCCAGTCCTAGAGTCTATGAATCTATGAAAAACTGCTTATTAACTCATGTGCATGGTATCTAAGCAGTTGCAGTGACTGCTTGTGCAAACAATCATTGTGATCTGTAATTGGCTGACTGTGTGTCAAGCAACCACGGCTGTGGTTGGAACTGTGGGTGCTACTGAGCACACACATTCCATTCCTGGAAACAGACACCAATGCATTTTTCATGACTGAGATGCCCACATTTTTCATATCTATATTACAAATGGCTTTGTGAGTCATGATCAGATTCTGTCTCAAGCTCTGCTGGTTTGGTGGCTGTGCAATGAAGTGGGCCAGAATAGGTAACTTCTTGGTCAGAACATACCAAGGAAGGGGGATCCCACATTTCAGTGCTGCAGCTCTGTACATCTACCTCCATCCGAGTCTCGCAATGTCTCTGTCTCCTTGAGGTTCTCCATCTCATGAGTTACGTCCTTCTGGCTGAGGGGAACCCAATGGAATCCCCTTCAAAGCCCCTAGTCAAGCAGAGAGCCTCCCCATGTAAATGGAGGTTCCCCCCCACCTGGAGCAATTCCAGCCATCTTGGGAGCCGCAGACCAGCACAGAGAATTGAGCCTGGGTCTCATTCCACATGGCAATGCAGAGCACCGGGCACCAGAGCACTAGCTTGGCCTCCCAAGAGTGAGGTTTGAATGTTCTGAGGTCTATGCAGTAGAAGAGAAACTCCTGTGATCTGTTTACATCGGTTCTTGTCTTAGGAGTCAATATGGGACTTTTGGACTGTCTCTGCCAAAGACTGACTCAGACTATTGGTGAGTCGGAATTCTGCCCAGAAGTGTCCCCCACGATACAGATTTATCCCGGTTCCTCTCTGATTCCTATTGCACTTACATAGAATCAGTCACATGACACCTCACCCTACCACTGCCCTTCTGAATTACAGGATGGACACCTTTCCGAACAGACAGGACAAATCTGGACTCCAGCCAGCCAAGCCCCACTGACTCTTCTGTCCCAGGTAGGAGTCAACAGCCTTTTGCTGTGACAAATCACCACATATCTATTTCTGTCCCATCAGGAAGTTCTATCCCAGTGCACACGGGATCATTCAGTGCCTCAGTTTTCCTAACTTCATAATGGGGCTAACAAGACTCACAATCTTCACTGGGGTCTGGAAGGTGTGGGTAATGTTTGTAAAGGGACTGGAAGAGGAAATGCCCAATCTCAGCGTTAAGTAACATGACACTGTCTGGGCAGTGATTGGTGGAAATCCCTCGCCAGGGGTTCCATAAGGTGCAGACAGTTCCCACACAGTTGTATGTCCCTGTCGCCCCTAGGGCATTCTATTAGTGACCATGATTGCGGGAAATTAACCCACCGTCTGCCTGTATCCACAGACACAGAGGAGCAGAAGGCGGCCCCAAAACAAGACCCGGTGCCACAAACCCTGGCTGCAGGAGCGGGCAGCCACTGCAGCACTTTCTGTGCTGAGCCTCCTGATCCAGGTAGGCCCATGCCCAGTATTGAGTGCCAGGAATAAAGGGGAGGAAAGCAGCCACAGTGACAGCCAAACCCCAGTGCTGAGAGGGCAAGAAGAGACTCCACCCAGACTCTGTGCCCTGCTCTGCACATGCACATAAGCCACTGCCCTGTGTTCCACCTTACACGCCAGCCTCCGTGCCATCCCATGCTGGGCTAAAGCCCTGCTGCCACCGGGCAGCCTGGGTGCCAGTAAAGGGGGAACTGACCCACCAGGCAGCTCCCTCTACCAGCTCAGCTCCCCAGTGGCTCTTCATAAGAATATAAGAATGGCCATGCTGGGTCAGACCAATGGTCCATCTAGCCCGGTACCCTGTCTTCTGACAGTGGCCAATGCCAGGTGCTTCAGAGGAATGAACAGAACAGAGCAATTATCAAGGGATCCATCATCCCCTGTCATCCAGTTCCAACTTCTGGCCATCAGAGGTTTAGGGACACCCAGAGCTTGGGATTGCATCCCTGACCATCTTGGCTAATAGCCATTAATGGACCTATCCTCCTTGAATTTATCTAGTTCCTTTTAAACCCAATTATACTTTTGGCCTCACAACATCCCCTGGCAATGAGTTCCACAGGTTGATTGTGCATTGTGTGAAGAAATACTTCCCTTTGTTTATTTTAAATCCACTGCCTATTAATTTCATTGGCTGACCCCTGGTTCATGTGTTCTGTCAAGGGGTAAATAACACTTCCCTAGTCATTTTATGATATTATCGGTCTTATTATCTATCCCTTTCCTAATGATTCCCAACATTCTGTTAGCTCTTTTGACTGCCGCTGCACATTGAGTGGATGTTTACGGAGAACTATCCACAATGACTCCAAGATCTCGTTCTTGAGTGGTAACAGCTAATTTAGACCCCGTCATTTTGTATGTGGGATTATGTTTTCCAATGTGCGTTACTTTACACTCATCGACACTGATTACTTTACACTCATCTGCCATTTTGTTGCCCAGTCACCCAGTTTAGTGAGATCTCTTTGTAACTCTTTGCAGTCTACCTGGGACTTAACTATAGTGAGTAATTTTGTATCATCCACAGATTTTGCCACCTCACCATTTTACCCCTGAACAGCAAAGGCCCCAGTACAGATCTTTGGGGACCCCACTATTTACCTCCTTGTGAAAACTGAAAATATATTCTTACCCTGTCTTTTAACCAGCTACAGTCCATGAGAGGACCTTCCCTCTAATCCCATGACTGCTTACTTTGCTTAAGAGCAACCTTAGTTTCCTTCTGTTTATTTTAGGCACCAAGCGAAAGGCCTATTTGTCACCCAGGGGACAGCTCGCCCCAATCAGCGAGGAGGAGGAAACGCCAAGGAAGACTCCTCCTGAGTGAGGAGAGAGCGGGAAATCCACAGCACACTGGGGAAGTGCCCATGGCACAGATGGTACAAGGTTCCCTCTATTACCAACTCAGCCTAGACTCCCGCCCCCTACTGCCTTTCCCACGACCCCCTTTCCTCATCTCTTGCTCCCAGATTCACTGCCATTCTCTGGCCCTAGAGAACATGCTCTGACCCCCCCTTGCCAGGGCAGGTGTTGCAGACAGGAGGAGAGAGGTGACTCCATTCCCAGCACCTGGCTCTGCTTTCTTTCTTCTTTGCTGGCTGGTCAGCAATGGGCTGCATTAGGGAACCAGGGAGAGAAATAATCCTGAGCTTCACCTCTCCCCAGAGTGTCCCGCGCACTCACCTCTCCCTGGGGCCGGGGCAGGGTTAGCTGTTAGCCCAGCCTATACCTGCAGAGAGCAAGGCTCCGGGAGGGGAAGTGGCTGGCCCAAAGCCAGAAAGCAGGAGTGTACATCCCTGGTGCACTCTGGAAGTGACCATTGTAGGAGGTGAGCAGGCAGAGACAATGGGCCAGATCCTTGGCCCCTCGTAAGGCCGCATGAAGGGACATTAAGCTCTCCCTTCCAAGCTCCCGCATGGTTTCCTCACCCCAGCACGGGGGCAGGGAGAAGCCCTTGGATGCTGTCTCCCCATCCCTGACCTGTCTGCGTGGGTCTGTAGACTGTCAGCCCTTCAGGACAGACATTGTCTCTGTCTGCGTTGTGCTGCACCCAGTGCAACAGGGCCTGTTCCTGACTGGAGCGTCTGGGCGCTACCATAACATCAGTAGTGATAAGTAATCAGGGCAGGCCCCGCTCTTCCAAACTGGGCCCCGCCATCCCTGCCATCCTCTCAGCACACACCACCCCAGCTGGTGCCAGGTACAACTATCCTGTTGAACCAACCATAAGTGATACTAGGCTAGTGCAAACCAAGGGGTCAAATGCCTCTCCCAGAGAAGGGAGAGTCCGGCACCAGCAGGAAGCTGCTCTCCACCAGGGCCATAACTTTATTCCTTCCAAGTCTGGGTTGTGGTAACCTAGCTGCTGATGGAGACTCTACACATAGGGGCTTGTCTGCCTGACATGTCATCACCATGTCCTGTGTCTCTTCTTTTGCACAGGGCCTTGCTTGCGTGAGGGACATGGATGAGGCTGCCCTGAGGAAGGACATTGGCACCCTCTTCCCAGCACTCCACTCCATGGTAAGAGATGCTGGGATCACTCAGGCAAAATCCCGGGGTCTGTTGGCTTAAACTGGGTAGGCTGTGGGAAGAGCTGTCCCTGCCTCATCCTGTTCCCATTGAGGGAATGGATCCTGGAGAACTCTCCTTTGGTTTCTTTTCCTCCCACCCACCCCACCCCCTTTGACCGGGAACATCAGCATCCCGCATCTTGTTCCAATGCTCCACATCTTCGGTTCCTGACCCGTCAAACTCTGCTTCTACATGAGCCACAGCCCCCGAAGCCTCGGCGTCACTCATAGACTGATCCAGCTTACTGGCCTGTTCTTTAGATGGGAATTAGAATCTGTCTTTCCACCCTCACCCCTTCACTCTGTCATCCGAGGGCTTGGCCTGAGAGACACTTGATCTAGTTTGCCTTTGCTGGTGTTGCTTTCTTCCTTTAGGTGTGTCATCTCCCCAGAGAGCACCTGGAGGAGTGGAGAGAGGCCCTGGACTCTCTGGTCCATCTGGGTAAGAAACCCATTCACCTTTCCCAGAGAAGGAGATTTCCCAGAACCTGCGGAATTTCAGAGCCCAGGCATAGAACTATATTCCCTTCCCCTTTATGATTCACCCACCCCATTATGATTCACTCCTCTTTCTGCAGCTCGCTTGTTGCTGGTGGAGCTGCTTGTGTTCCTGTTCAGGAGGCTGAACAAGGACGAGGAAGAGGAGACCTGTGCCAGTCTCTTCATTCTGGACCGGATAGTCCGATCCAACAGTAAGTGACCCCACAGCGAGGCCTCGTCTTTTGATGTCTTATGGCCTCTTGTGCAATTAGTAGCGCTTAGCACTGGGCCTCATTGGGGTCATTTATACTTGTCTGCAGTAGATAATCCAAGTCCTGCAGCCCCTCAGCCGATGCTGCAGCAATGAGAGAGGACAGTCACTGCTGGAACTGCAAGCGTGGGCAGATGCAGCTGGTTACCCATGGGGGTAACCTGCCAGGAGGGTCATGTAGGGACATTGAGGTTGCTCTAAGGTTCCTGAGATCTCAGGTCCCTGCACACCCCGGTTTAACATCAGCCCTGCCGAGCCATGTGTCTGTGTCTCTTACAGTTTCCGAAATGATGCACAATACAGAGAAGCTGTTCATAGCCCTGGGGCCAATCCTGCAGAGCACAAGCATACGGGTGAGTCTGGAATCAACGCGGCCAAAGCTAGTGAACGTCTGCCTGCCAGTGCAGAGCCTGCCGGGACCCTGTGCATCAAAACACATGACCCATCAGTGCTCCATAGTGTAGGGCAGAAGGTGGGGGAGAGAATCCCAACAGGGCTCCAGCTGCATTGCCATCTCTGGGCTGCCTAGCAGTATTTCACCAAACCCCCTGCTGAGAAAGGATCCCAGCCTGGACTGGGAGGGGACAAGGTTCCTCCACACTGTGTGCAAATCATTTCTGTTTCTGTCTGGGTCTGGCAGGTCAGAGAAGCCCTTGCTTATTTTATAAGGACAATGGGGGCACATGGGCTCTTGGAGAAATCTGCCTCAAGACCCTTAATTGACTTCTTGGTGTGTCAGTGCACCCTGACCCTCGACAACACAGTAAGAATCCGCAGAGACCTTAGTGACGGGAGTCCGTGAATAGGGCAGAACATGGAGTCAAGGGATAGGGAAGGAGGGGCAGCTATAGATGGGGAGGGGCAGGTGATGGGCAGCAAATAGGACTTGGGAAGCAGATGGAACTGGGGAGGGCACCCTCCATCTACTGATGGAAGATGATGACAAATAGAAGACAGTGTTTTTTCCTCCCAGCCCATTCTCGCTGATCCCTCTCCCAGCCACCATCCAGGCTCTGTCCCTCGCGCAGGGAAGGCAGGACCCCTGGCTTCCTCCTTCTCTCACCTCACTGTGATCATCCACCTTAGGAGACTAAGCCATGAAGGCTCTAATTTTTACCAGGCAGAGGGGTGGATCCTAGAGAGCCTTGAGAGACTCTTCACCAATTCCCTGGTGAATACAGATCCAAACCCCTTGATTTCTCCTTGTTTTAAGATCCAATCAGGTTCTTAAAAAGAAGGCTTTTAATTAAAGAAAAAGGTAAAAATCATCTCTGTAAAATCAGGATGGAAACTAACTTTACAGGGTAATCAAACTTAAAGAGCCCAGAGGAATCCCCTCTAGCCTTAGGTTCAAAGATATAGCAAACAGAGATAAACACTAGTAAAAAGGTACATTTACAAGTTGAGAAAACAAAGATAAAAACTAACACGCCTTGCCTGGCTTTTTACTTACAAGTTGGAAATATGAGAGACTTGTTCAGAAAGATTTGGAGAACCTGGATTGATGTCTGGTCCCTCTCAGTCCCAAGAGTGAACAACCCCCAAAACAAAGCACAAACAAAAGCCTTCCCCCCACCAAGATTTGAAAGTATCTTTTCCCCTTATTGGTCCTTTGGGTCAGGTGTCAGCCAGGTTACCTGAGCTTCTTAACCCTTTACAGGTAAAAGGATTTTGGAGTCTCTGGCCAGGAGGGATTTTATAGTACTGTACACAGGAGGGCTGTTACCCTTCCCTTTATAGTTATGACAGTGCTGGAGGCAGACACTGATAGGTGAGAAGGGGGAGGGGGTGGGGATCGCTGCATGGTTCAGGCTGGGTAGAGAGGTCTGACTGGTGGTGGCGAGGCCAGGGGTCCTATCTAGTGTAGGAAAGAGAGAGCTGGTGCAGGAAGAGGATATTTCCTTACTGAGATGGCTTTTCTCTGCTCTGCAGGTTTTATGGCCTGGGCTGCTCCTTCAACTGAGCCCAGCAGCCCATGGGCCAGCCCTGCCTCTCCTCCTGCAGACCTCGGTCGGGGTGGTAAAGAGGATGCAGGAGGAAGGCAGGCTGCCCTTGGTCAGGAGGTGCCGCAAGGCGAACAGAGGCAAGTCCCAGTATTTTATCCACCCGCTCTTAGTCCTTCTGTAAGAGAGACGTCTGCCCCCAGGTGGGGGTGGGGATCAGCTTTTGGCTCTGGTTCCAGCTCACTGCAAGCCAGCCGTCAAGGGCACAGGTAGAGCTCAGAGACGAATGCAAAAGATCCCTCCAGAGCCTGATGGGATGCCCCCCTTTCTGTTCACAGGGTGTCAGTCAAGCCCCAGGTCCACTCTACCCCAGGAGCTGTTGGCGAGTAACCCGCAGCCAGGAGGTTCCTTATGCTCAGTGGGAAGGAGCCGCTCCCGGAGCTGGCATGCAGTGTGTGGTGGCTCTTCTCCCCGCAGCCCCCAGAGGAGCTGGCTCGTCACATTCCTCGCATTCATTGCGCATCGACCCAGCGCCTCTCGGAATTTAACAGAGCCAGCGAGCTCTCTGAGCCAGCCACCTTCCTGGCTCCCCTGATCCTGGGGCTGGACCAGGTCCCCCAGCACCAGTTAGTGCAGTCCTCGGACGGCTCCAATAGAAGCCAGCTGGAATGAACCCATAGGGACTGTTGTGCAGGCCCCCTCCTGCCCCCTGGCCTCCAGCATCCTCCCTTACCAAGGGGCAGCTGGGGATTCCCTTTATGGCCCAGCTGCCTCTTTCGGGCTGCTACTCTAACCTAGGCCAAGGATCTGCCTGACGGTCTCTAGATAATCCTGTCTCCTTTCATCTGAGCTACAGCCAGCCCAGGAGTGAGAGGATGGAAGGAGCCAATAGCTGGTCCATGAAGTGTCCCTGATCAACTGAAATATCCATCTCAATCCTGTCCTGGTTGTCAGCTCCACCTCCCTGCTGTCTCCTTCCCTCCATCACTGAGCTCTCCCCCTGCACCTGTAGGGAGCTCCCTTCTCACACTGCCTCGCAAGGGAGGGGTACAGCCACCTCTGCCTTTGTCCACCAGGTGCTCGGTGCGT